CCTGCCAAAGCTGTTAGATAGTCGTCACCTGTGCTTCCTTTCATTTCACTTGCCGTAAATCGACGCTTTTCAGTCATTATATCATTGTAATGGCTTATGTAACTAGGATTCCCTTCGTGGTGTTGTATATTGGAGAGTTGGTTAGCCAAATAGCTGCAGGTATGCCAGATTATCGACTATTGTACGTCTGGCAGTGATCCATAGCTACTCCAGACACGTGAATGTATAAGAAGGGGGAAAAAGTGTCGTACAGTATATGCGGCCGAGATTTAGTGTATAAATAAACAAAAGAAAACAAAGAAATAAAAAAAAACTGAAATCCTTTCCTGCATACAGCCTTGTTATCAACGTTGTCAAGGCCAAGCACGGGAAGTCCGTCTGAGAATTAGAACGCTGTCATTTGGCCAGCTGAGCATAAGCCAAACAGTGCCACAATAAAGGTCATTCAACCATGAGTGCCAGGCAGACTGCAAGGTTGGAGGCAGCGGAGGTGGGTCAGTATAATTGCATGGAACCCTAGAGATCGCCGGCGAAATGATTCCAATCATCTTATTTCACAGGAGAAGCGAAATTACTGTCACTCTCCTTGAAGATGTCGGTGAACTAAATTGAAGGACAGTTCGTCGACTGATCAGTTCTCTCTTTTTGTCCCCTCGTTTCGCTCGTTCCTCGCTGCGATAAAGAGTACGAAGCCACTGATAAGATGATTGGGGGATTTTGCCAGCGGGTATGCAAGCGGAAGGCACCGGGAGGAGAGGAGGAGGAAGGGGAGGAGGGGGAAGGGGAGGGGGGAGGGGAGGAGGGGAGGAGGGGGGGGGGAATGCAATTGATCTGTGGCTGTTGGGTCATGGAGAAGGAGCGAAGGTCGAATTCTCTCTCTCTCTTCTCTCTCTCTCTCTCTCTCTCTCTCTTCTCTCTCTCTCTCTCTCTCTCTCTCTCTCTCTCTCTCTCCTCTCTCTCTCTCTCTCTCTCTCTTCTCTTCTCTCTCTCTCTCTCTCTCTCTCTTCTCTCTCTCTCTCTCTCTCTCTCTCTCTCTCTCTCTCCCCTCTCTTTTTCTCTCTCCTCTTCTCTCTCTCTCTCTCTCTCCCTCTCTCTCTCTCTCTCTCTCTCTCTCTCTCTCTCTCTTCTCTCTCTCTCTCTCTCTCTCTCTCTCTCTCTCTCTCTCTCTCTCTCTCTCTCTCTCTTCTCTCTCTCTCTCTCTCTCTCATCTCTCTTCTTTCTCTCTCTTCTCTCTATCTCTCCTCTCCCCTCTCTCTCTCTCTCTCTCTCCTCCCTCTCTCTCTCTCTCTCTCTCTCTCTCTCTCTCTCTCTCTCTCTCTCTCTCCCCCTCCTCCCTCTCCTCCCTCCTCTCCTCCTCCCTCCCCCTCCCCTCTCTCCTCTCTCTCTCTCTCTCTCTCTCTCTCTCTCTCTCTCTCTCTCTCTCTCTCTCTCTCTCTCTCTCTCTCTCTCTCTCTCGCTCTCTCTCTCTCTCTCTCTTTCTTCCTCTCTTCCTCTCCCTCCCTTTTCTCCCTTTACCTCCCAACCCCCCTATCTTTCTTTTTCTCCCTCATCTAAACTTCCTCTTCTCCCTTATTCTCCCGTCTTAATCGCTCGTCCCTTCCGATCGCCCTCCCTCCTCCTTCCCTTGTACCTTCTATCGCCCCCTTCCTCCTCCCTCTCCCTCCCTCCCTCCCTCCTTCCCTCATAACTTCCTATCCTCCTCTCTTCCCTCCTTCCTCATCCTTCCCTCCCTCCCTCCCTCCCTCCTCCCTCCCTCCCTCCCCTCCCTCCTCCCTCCTTCCCTCGTACCTTCTATCGCTCCCCCCTTCATCTACCTGTACAGCGTGAATGGGGATGCAAGCCGCAGGAGTGGGCGGAGCTAAGGAGGCGGATGGTGTGGGAAGACGCAGACTTTCACTCCCTTTTTGTGTGAGTTTGTGTCAAGGGTTTAGGAGCGTGGGCCACTCCGCGCGGTGGCCAATACTGGAGAATGTGGAGCTCGTGGATCACTAAAGGGGGCCATATATGGTGCCTCCGTCCATTATATAGTGTCGTATTGTAGCAGATGGTGTCTTGCTTCCACGATGAGTCTCCCTGGGGCGTCGAATTGATCAGACTCATGGGCGCTTTAGGCGTGGCAGGTGGGAGACATGCGGCGTAGGGGCCCGTATGTTGTATGGGGCGGTCGTTGGATCTCAGCGTAAGTTATGGGTGCTTGTGACGACTACGGTGGGATGACTGCGCCTTTGTGTTGCCTTTTTTTCATGCAGGGCTAATGATCTGAGAATGAGGTCGAGTGGTACTCCCCTTCTCTTTCTCCCTCGTCCCCCTCCCTCCCTGGAAGCTCTTACATGCCCGTTGCCTTGGTATTGGTATTTTCATGGGCTTGATATGTCTGCGGTGCATAAGCGGCGCTCCTCTGCCTTAACGGGAAGCGAGGGACGCCGGACTCAGATCCTGGAGGGTGGGGTGCGCTAGGGGAAGCCTCCGTCATCGCCGCCGTCCCGGGTTTCTAGGGCGCGGTGAAGAGGCGGGAAGGGGGAAGGGAATAGAGGTTGGTTGGAAATGGGTTGGGGGATGCGGTTGGAGGTGGGTTTGAGGAGGGAGGAGGGCCGGAGGTGAGGGCGGCAGAGGTGGGAGGAGGTGAGGGCGGCAGAGGGAGAGGGCCAGGAGGTGAGGGAGAGAGGAGGAGGGCCAGGTGAGGGAGAGGGAGGAGGGCCAGGAGGTGAGGGCGGCAGAGGGAGGAGGGCCCGGAGGTGAGGGCGGCAGGTGAGGGAGGCAGAGGGAGGAGGGCCCGGAGGTGAGGCTGAGGGAGAGGGAGGAGGGCAGAGGGGGAGCGGTCCGTCGACGGGCGGTTTCTGACGGGTATTGGCTAACGCTTAATCCGTGTTGGAAGTGCCATAGCGAGTCGCACACGTGAAGGGTCAAGGCGGCGCTGACGGGGCCGAGGGAGGGAGTTCGAGGAGGGGGGGGGGGAGGGGCAATCCCAAGCTAAATGCAATCCGAGAGCAACAGATGCCACACACCCGGGAACGAGGGTAGTTTGCTTGGTGGCTGTTGCTAAAAAGGAATCAACGTAGCGTTACGCACAGTCGCTCGCACGTACATGCATGTACAGACAGACACATACACGCTGCCACACACACACATACACACACGCACGCACTCACAATCATAGTTACTCATCATACTTATGTTACACGTACAAACATCTGATTCAACTTCTCATTAGGACAACTCAAGTGTTGATCTCAAGAGGGAAAAAGACCCACGATGGCAGTTAGTGGCACGCAGTAGCATGCAGTGCCACGCCGAAGGGGCGAGTGACAAATAGCAGCAGGTGACACACAGGAAGAGCAGGTGGCTTTTGCTCGCTGGGAGGGAGTGACCCAGCGGGGGTGGAGAAGGAAGAGGAGGGGGGCGGGGGGGGAGAGGGAGGGGCTAGAGAGTAACGCTAGGGAGCAGAGAGAGCAGTGCGGCACATGGTGGCACTCTCGAGCAACAGGTGAACCTTCTTCGGCAGGGCGAACCGCAGCGAGCGCAAGGGGTGCCAGGGGGCTTCATTTGCCAGGGGGCTGTGGCGCAGGGGGTGCCAGGGGGCGTCGTGTGGTGCACCAGAGCTGACGTCACAAGGATTCAGTGAAAGGGAGACGAGGCGACAGGGGGCGAACGCGTGCGAGGAGACCTTTGCTCTCGCTCGCTGTCACGTAATGCCGCCCGGATGAAAGCGAGAGGGTGGCCCGCAGGCGCTGAAGGAGGCTCGCTGCGGGCGCCGGTAATGATGATGGCGATGGTGATGAGGATGGTGATGTTGGTCCTAATGGCATGCAGGACCGGCGAGGCTAGTGATTAATGATGCAGTAGATTAGAGCGTTGCCATGAGTGATGTCTGTGTTTTAAAATGGTGGTGATGATTATCGTGGTGTTGATGAAATTGGGGAATAGACCAGAAGGGAAATTTAAATGACACCGAGAGACATTTGCCTATCTTAAACAGCCAAGAGGGAACTACCTGCCCCCTTAAAACGGCCAAGAGGGAACTACCAGCCCCCTTTTAATACCAAAGAGGGACATGACATCATATCACAAAAAAGTAAAATGCAATTAACTAACTATCCCACTCCCTTCATAAGCCAAACCCTCACAAAAGGGCCACTTGGATTATTATTTTTTTTTTTTCATAGACATTTATAATCATGCATCGACGCCGCATCTAAATGACGTCAGGTGGTCACGTGATCGCTCCCACCTAATTGGAGAGTGACAAGATCTACTGCGTGAGTGACAGGCCCCCAACCCTCTTTGCAATGGGCTTCGTGACCTTGCTTTTAAACAAAGGAAATTGAAAGCATGCAAACACCCGCGTGTCCACTCGTTTTGTTTGTGGTGGCTGTATGGGGCATTGGGCACGGTTCTCATTCTTTATTTTGTTGATGGTCGGTCTGATTATTGTTATTATTATTGTTGTTGTTTTTTATTGTTATTATTATTTTGTGTCTTTGCTGTTTTTTTTGTGTATGTGTGTTATATTTATGTATATATATATATATATATATATATATATTATATATATATATATATATATATATATACATACTACATACATACATTAATATATATATATATATATATATATATATATATATATATATATATATACATATATACATACATACATACTACATATATATATATATATATATATATATATATATATATTATGTAATAATGTTATGTATATGCATGTTGTATCTATCTATTTATCTATGTATATGTTTTAATATATATATATTTATATATATATATATATATATATATATATATATATATATATATATATATATATATTATATATAACCACACACACACACCCATGATGCATTCGTGTATATATGTCCTCAGTGGTGTCGTCAAGGAGAGCAGCGGCGATAATGTTTAATAGCGTGTGGCCGTAATGTCACAAACATGATCAATGTCAGTCGAGGCGCAGCCCACTTACCCCCCCCCCCTCTTCCCCCCAGAGTGTGATGGTGACCGCATGACGATGGACTTCCCGCGCAAGTCCTCCCGGGGCCGCGGGATGCTGGGGCCGAGACCACCGCAGACCCACCACGCCATGGCCAACACCCTCGTCTCGCCCAGGATGGACCACTCGCCCTCGGACTCCTTCATGGACGGGTCGCCCCTGGGGATGGGTGTCTCCCCCCTGGGCGGGCGTCCCCGCTCCCCCATGTCGCCTGGGGACGTGGCGATCAAGACCGAGCCTCCCCTGTCACCGACGGCGAAGAGACCGCGGCCGGAGCGGGTGGACTGGGCCCCCTCCCCCAGCACCCTCAGCATGGAGTCGCTCTCGCCGCCGTCCTTCCCCTCCAACGGCATGGGCGCCATGGGCGGCGGACAGCCCTCCAACGCCGGCTCGCCGCTCTCGTCCTCCAGCTACGAGCCCAGCTCCCCCTACCCTCCGAGATCAGGTGAGTCTGCCATCTGCTGCGTCTGCTTCCCGGCAATTTCTATTCATTTACCCCCTTTATCGACGTTGCTTTGGTTCCTATTTATCAGTTGCCGTATTGTGCTGTTACTGTTTATGTCTTGGTCATTTCATCCCCACATCATTTGACTCTTGCGTGTTTTTTCCTGTAAAGGTATCTTGTCGCCCGATGAAAAAATAACAATCAATGATGCAGCAGACACGGTTTTAACCTTCAGTATGCTGCTGCAAGAGAACAGATGTGATTTCCGTCCCAAAGACGACACCCTCTCCCAACGAATTCTCATTTTTATGTTGGATTTTCTCTATCGCTCTCTAGTCTTGACAATCTTTTATTTTGTTTACTTTTTAAGTCTTATTTATCTGTGTATTCGTGTAGTTTTCGCCCTGCCACGTAGTTTTGTTGTAAGCCAGCGGTCACTGGCCCTTTTCCCCTCTTCCTGCCTGACCCGCCGAGGGCCCTAATGGAAGCCGAATTCCAGCTCATTCCTTCGCCTATTTCCCCTTTCTTCTCTCTTTTCTTACCAGTAGCTTTCGGCCTCGTAGAGTCGTCCCTTTTCTCTCGCTCCTCTGTTCGTCTCTACTATTTTTTCTTTCTCTCTTCTAATCCCCTTTCTTGCAATCTTTCTTTCCTTTACTCTCTCCCATCTCGTCTCCTATCCCCCATCTCCCCTCGCCTTTCTTTTTCCTTCTCCCCTTCTCTCCTCTCCACCCTTTTTTCCACTCCAGACTCTCCTTTCCTTTATTTTTCTTTCCCCGTCTCCTCTCTTTCTTTTTTTCTTTCCCCATTTCCTTTCCTTTTATGCCTCTCCATCTCTCTTTCCTTTTTCTCTCCCATCTCCACTATCCCTTTTCCTCCTCCATCTCCTATCACCTATCCCCCTACCTCTATTTCTCTCGCACCTCTCTCTCTCCTCTCTTCGCTTTTTCCTCTCATCGTGATTTTCCCATACGTTAAAATCGCCCCCCACCCACCCCACCCCGTTCCTCCTTCTTCCCCTTTCATTTTTAAGAACGTGATTATGGTACTTTCATTTACCGCTGGGGGAATCATTGCCCAGAGAGTGAACAAAAAAGGGCGTTCTTTCTAGAATGATCCGGAATAGAAGAGAGTTGGAACACGCAAAAAAAAGGTTGCTAGCTCCCTTATGAGAAACACCTCGGGTATATTACCTCTTCAGTATAGGTAGTTTCCCATAAGTGTTTTTGCTCTATAATTATTATATATATATATATATATATATATATATATATATATATATATATATATATATATAATTATATATATTATATATATATTATATATATATATATATATATATATATGTACATGATTATATATTATATTATATATACATGTTTATACTTATATAAAATTATATATATATATATTATATATATTACGGTGCGTGCCCGTTCATTCTGAATAATATTCGGGAACCCAGTAATTAGACCATCCCTGCCGGAGACCCCCCCCCCTTCGACCCTTTCACGCAAGTCTGCCTCCTCGGCGGGCGGGGAAGGCGCCCACGAGCCGAGGGGGGGGGGGGGCGTAATGGCTTGGGGTGGGACTTGGACTTAAAGGAAATGCGTGATGAGGCTCTTTGGGGGTGGTCCAGGATCTGCTTTTGAGAACAACTTTTCCTTTTGTTATTTTTTTATTGATTTTCTTTTGATTACTGTTAGGTTTGTTTTGTCAGTATTATATCCTTATGCTTATTATTGTTATTGTTATCATTTTGTTGTTGTTGTTATTATTATTATTTTAATTATTGTTATTGTTATTATTATTGTACGCATTATCATCAGCATTATTATTATTGTGATCATTATTACTATAATTTGCTATCATCATCATTGTAATCCGTATAGAAAGACAGATTTTTCTCTCTTGGATGCTCCTTTTTACGATTTTTCGCTGATTATCCCTATCATCATCCGTCTCTCTCCTTAATTCTTTTGTTTTCGTGTCTGCTCGGAGCCTTGAAGAGTGATTTGCGGCCTTCTTTATTCTTCTCTTTCTTGTCTCCCAT